CACCAGGACAGAAGGAGTGAGGCTGTGAGTATTTAGAAGCAGAAATCCAAAAGTTGTCCTCATAGCTCATACAGCTCGGGGGTGAGTGATTATGGTTATGTATATGACACTGAAGGTCAGGAGTGGAAATGCATTGAAAGCTATCAGGGCAGATGCCTCTGGACACTGTAGTGTTTGTAACTGGGTAAAGTGATGCCCAAAGTCAAATGTGAATTTGAATCAGATCCAGACAATGTTTGTTGAGGTCTGGTACACACCAGTATTGTGCTGAGTGCTTTCACATTGCTTTTAACTAGAGAAAACGTATAGTTTATTATCCAAACCAGGACACTTTGAAGAGTAAAAAGGGGCACTGTTAAAAAACAACACTCTAGGACAACAGGAATAAACCAGAACTGCCCCAGGAAATCCAAGACTTATGACCATCCTACCTAGAAGTCATACTTTGTGCTTTTTTTTTTTAGAAACTCATGACACATTTTATAAATCTGTATGTATCAGTATTTACTTGTTTAAAGTCTATTTCTCTACTACATTGCAAGGGTTAGAGTTTTGTTCACTATTACAACTGCAATGCCTACTATACAGAAACCTGGTAGATAAGTAAATATTTATGGAAAGAAAGAAGGGAAAAAATGGAGTAAAAGATTGGGCAAGGAAAGAGAGAGTAGGGAAGACAGAAAGAGACTGAGGGAGCTGGGATCCTCTTCTAGGTCAGCCTAACTCCTATATTAGTGTCCTAAATGTAGCTTGAGACACGAAGGAGTGGACATTCAGCAAGAAAATGACTTACACAGTAGCTCAACATCCAAGCACCTATTAAGATCCAACCATCTGAAGATCAATCTATTCATGGCACAAATATTTTCCTAATATCTCTGTAACTCAGTCTTGCTGAATCTGTTTTGCATCACAAATGAGTGCCTAGTTATTGTGAATAAATCAGTAACTTCTAATTGATGATGGCAATGACAGGCTCAAGGTTCTTCCTTTTTAGCAACTCTAACCTCCTTCCCTGTGTTCCTCTCCCCTCCTCCCCAGTTCTCTCACTGGGGAGATTCATCTAAAACACCACTTTATTCAACGGTTTCCACTCTGTCACTCCTTCTGGTCTAGCGTTTCTTTGTTTTGTATTTTGGGGTTTTTTTTTTTTTTTTTAACCATGCCATATCGTCCTCTCTGTGAATAACTGTTTTGTGCCCATAATCCACATTGCATTTGACATAATAGGATTTTCCATGTTCAATCCAATTCAACTCAACAAACAGTTATTGAATATCTGTTATCAGCCGGATGAGAAAAAAAAAAAATGTAGGGGCTTGTTCTCTTTGAGAAAGAGGTAGCAGAAGAAAAAGACTTCCAATTCTACCAGGGAAACTGCAGTCAACACAGAAGCCTGGGAGGGCAGAACTCAGCAGACTACAGATACTTCCCAAGAAAATCAGAAGCAGTTTCTCTCTGCAAGGAAAGTTGATCTGGATGACTTAGAGAGTTCAGTGACAAACTCTTGTCTGTAAGAAATGGGAGAAGACAGTGGGGCTTCATAGTTTAGAGAAAGGGGACAAACCACAATCACTCTATCTCTGCATAGGGATTTGATGAACACAGTTTACACCTTCTTTTGTAAACAAAGAAGGATGAGCTGAAGCTGAAAGTAAATATCCTAAAGCTGTGGTTGTGCAAGCCCTGACACAGAGGGTGGACATGAAAGGACCCGGGAAAACAAAGTTCACTAAAAGGATCAAGACAACAGTAGAGTTTTATAACCAAGATAACTTCATTGCACCCAAAGACTTATTTTTTCATTAATCCTTGCTCTAATGTATGTATTTGTTTTTAAGCACACATTTCTGTCTGATCAATATCCATGTTGCTCCTTAATTCAGGATATTTTTACTGGCATCTTCAATTAGCGTAAATAGAATGAATTACATTGGTGCATCTCTGGAGTACCCCCAATGCCCGGCTTTTGCTGTCTTAGCAATCACTGTCTGTCACATGACACAGCAGTTAAGGGGGTCATAAAACCAGTCATCAAAGTTGGAAGGGACTCAAATGCAGTTTCACTACAATGTCTTCCAACTTCCAAACAATTGAGTTTCCACTATGCACCATTTGTGACTAAAAGTTGGACACTTTTAGAAGGGCAGAATTCATACTTCACATACTCCATCCTCAGGCAGCTCTAATGTTTAAAAATTTCTATTTCTCTATAGACCCTACCTCTTCCCAGGTATCCCACCTGAAAAAAGGTCTGTCCTGTCCTTTCTCTGATAGCTCTTCAGAAACAGAATAACTGTGGTTGTTGCTTTTCTTTCAGCTGTGAAACCCCACTGTCTTCTCCTACTTCTTACAAACAAGAACTTGTTCTGTGAGAAAACTTGATGTAATACCCATTGTCTGGTCTGCCTGGTTCCACTTTTTACTTCTGAAATAGCAGGCCCTCTTCTCTGGAAACAGGCACTATCCCACCCCAAAGCTTCAACTGTGTGGTTCCAGTGAGGCTGCCCTGTCCTCACATATCCTTGCCTCTTAGGCCAGAGTGAACTTGCCCAAAGGTTGGACATGTCCTCCAAACTCGGCCAATAGCAATCATTTTGGAATTGAAACTGGAAAATGAGAATATGTCACTGTCGTGGCAACACCACAGATATGACACATGGCAGTCATATTCTACACGTGGAAGAGGCCAGTCTAAAGTCTTCAGTTATATGGCATATCCCTGGTACTCTTCTAATAAATTCTCTATTTTACTTACACTAGTTTAAGTTGTATTTTTTTTTAGCTTGTAACCAAAGATCTCTGACAAATATGGATATGCTCCAATATATTTCCTTTATCTCCCACGGGACCTCTACAAATGAATCCAATATTAGTGAGAGGTGGTGAGAGAAGAAGGGATTTGGAGAAGGTATTTGAGTTGGTCAGATTCAGAGATGAGCAGTCCTAGTGCCTCCCTGGTTTTGGACAAGTTTTCCTAATTTGTAGCTCCTAGTGGACTTTGCCAATATAATACTTCTTTATCCCATATCAAGGCATACACCAGCAGCTGCTGAGAGAATTCAGTTACTCACTGGGTCATTGTACATCTGGACGATGAGCTGTTTCACACCATGCAGGGTAGGGTGGGCCCATGGAGAGGGATCCAGCCAGTGCCGATTCAGGTCAAATCCCATCAGAGAACACCTGGGCAGAACCCAAAGTAAGAGTCCATATCAGTAGGGCAAGCTGAGCTCCTCATTTGTCAAAGTACAGTGAGGAGTAGAAGCAGGTTTATGTCACTTACCACTTCCACTGATATCCCCTTGATATTGGATCAAGGTTCAGAGTACTGTAATAATTTGTTAACTAGTCTTTTTGTTTCCATTCTTGCCTCCTCCCACCCCATCATTTATGGTTTCCCCGAGATAGTTCTAAGCACTTTATATGAATTAAATCATTCAGTGCTATCAACAACTCTATTGTAATTCCCACTTTACAGAAGAATAAATTGAATTACAGAGAGGTTCAAAAATATTTGTCATGCAGTCTGATTTCAGTATCCAAAGACACATGATCCATAGACACATGTACATCTTCTACACAGTGCAGTTGAGAGAAATGCTCAGGCCAGGACCACTGGTGACCACTTTATTCCTCTTTGCTCACAGCTACAGCTAATTCATTGTTTCTACCTTCAAAATTATATAGAATCCAACTCCACTGATATCATCTTGAATTTGGACTGAGGTTCAGAGTATTGTAATAATTTCTTACCTGGCCTTTTTGTTTCCAACCTTGCCTCCTCCCACCCAACCTCCCATGACCCCATTTTCTACACAATAGCCAAGGTGAGCCTCTGGCTCCCGACATTAAAAAGCAAAAGACCAAAGTTTCCCAGACTCCCAGAAATTTTAGACTGGAACTTGAATTCATGTGCTCATTTATGTTGCTTATGTTCTTTCCCTTCCTTCACTCAGCACCGAGAGCCAATTGCACGCATGGAAGTGAAGAGTTAAGGATGAACACCCCCAGGGCCTCAGCCTTCACCTTACAAACACCTCTTTCCTCTGGCCTCCTGGGGGAACTTGGAAAACCTAATTTCCCCATCACA